AAAGTAGCTCAAAAAGCCAAGAATCATGACAGGCTCCAGTTCCAGATGTATTTCATTTCCTCTGAAGATGGGCCCATCCCCATATGGATGGTCACCATGCCTGTGGACCCCCAGGGGTCACCCTGCCACCTGCCTTGGACCGCAAACAGCTTGGTCCACTCAAACCTACCACCAGATCACGTGGTCCTCTGAAAGTCCCCTACCCCTACTTACCCGTACCAGTAGCGAGGGTCGTTAGAGATGCAAGGATTCAGGCTCCGGTGGGCTAGAGCCTTCTTTTTATTGAGGACAAACTCTTGTAACTTCATCTTCACTTCTGTACTGGCCACAGCACCTGTGAGCGAAAAAGCACAGTGGTGGGTGCCGTGTGGCTCTGCCCCAGGGCAGTAGGGCCTGACACAAGGCCACAAAGGGAATAAGAGGATGGAGTGACGGAGGCCATGGGTCTCCTTTAGGACTTCATGCCCTGCAAACGCTCCCTCAAAAAATGGAGACGGACAGGAGGGTTTTAATAACAGGCCTTGTTCCCATCAAGATCTTTACATAATTGCATTCTATTTAAAATGCAGATTTAGTCATTAGAAAGACTTATCATTAGCTAATACAAAACCCACTTCTGAGGGAAGTTTTAAAATTCCCACATAGAAGAACGCTCTGAACTAGGCACTGGCAGGGCGGTGGTTTCTTGGTCCCACCATGCAGCAGGAGCAAGGAGTTTTGTGCAAATGGAAGCATCAGACACAGGGCCCATGGTGACAGGTACAAGGACCCTCACGGGCAGGCTCAGTTTCAAGACCTGTGCAAAGCAATAGCCAGGTCTGCTCACAGTGCCAGAGAGGCACTTCTGATAAAGTAGGTTTTACCAGATTGGACTAAAGCTGAGGGTGCAAGCTTTGTGGCTTTCTTGTGGTGGTGACTTTTTCAAAGCCTTGTTAAAGCAAACTGGCAAATTTGAGAAATAGACAAAAACAAAAAAACAAAAATCTCTGCCCAGTAATACCACTGAGTGCAAGGCCTGCGGGCCCCAGAGCTGTTCTTCTCCACCTGCGACCGTGCCGTGCGGCACTACTCTGTCCATCCTTCCGCTTAGGGTACCTAAGGCATTTTCCCTCAGATCACTTAGTATTCAAACATTATTGTTAAAGGTCAAAAAAATACTACATAAGGTGTGAGAAGCATGGTTTACAAAACCAACCCTGACGGGGAGGCATTTGTTGCTGCTAGAAGCCCTGCTACAATGAACGTTTATGGGTCAGCATCAGTGGCTGACAGGGAAGTGACTGCATCAACACACTCTTTCGCATCACCCTCAGAACATTGTGCTAACTGCTTTCCAAAACATCTCTACCCTGACCACCTTGTCCCGGGCACCAGAGGAGCATGCCTACCTTCTACAAGCTGGGGTCACCACTAGCCAAAGACAGGGTCTGCGGGCAGCCCACAGGTCTTGCAAAGCTCCTGGGCACACACTATCACTCTCTTTGTGATGTACTTTACGTCCTTGTTTTTTTCCCTCAGAAGTTTCTCTGTAATGGGTGTGGTCATGGCGGCAGTGCTGTGGGTCTGTGGGTTTTACAGTTTGACCCATTAGAGTCTTATGGCTCCTCTTACTATTTTGTGCCAGCCCAGGCACGCTCAGGCCATACTCGGACGGTAAACAGAGGTTCTGGTGGAGGACACAGAATGGTCAGGGGAGGCTCAGCTGAGGGCGCTTCAGTTCAGGTCTCGCCAGTTCCCCAGATCGCAGTTCTTAACTGTTCTGTGTGTGCAACTACCTCAGTCTCCTGGTTCCTTTAAAATTTTGGGTATTCTGATAGTCATATGCTTGTTTTTATAAAGTCTATTCTAGTTTTCCTTTGTTATTTTCCCCATTACTTTGAAGCTTTGCAATTCATTGAAAAACCATACACATTGGTTTAACAATCACTTTTATTTTATCATTGTTCTGAAGTTTTCATTCATTTAGTTATTTGCTAATGTTATTTTTTCATAATTCACTCTAATGTGCCTGAAATGGATTTTAGAATATGAGGTTCTATGGATGTTTTGACAATTGCTTAATAAATTGTTAACATCACTAGAGAAATGTATCTTTTCCCTGCAACCTTCATCACATCCCAAATGCATCTGTTGGCACTCATGAACGGGGTGTCTTCTTGGTCACACGTGCTTCTGAGTGCTGTAGGGCAGAACCCTACTGCAGTTACTCCAAATGAGACTTCGGTATGTGGATGAGGGTCAGACAGCAGCACGCTCTCGGAAATGGTCCACCAGGGATAGGAAGACCGGAGTCAGACAGCCAGAGAAATGCAGAGAGAGACCAGGCATTCTGAAGGGGCCCTCATGATGCATTAGGCTTGGTCTCAGGGCTCTCTCCACGTCTTGGAAAACAACCTCACTGATAAATGAGCTCATACAAGATCCCTGAGCTCTTGTTGTTAAGGACTGTCTGCACCTTGTTAAACTGTGACTGCAGGGGGGCGGGGGACAGGAGGTGGTGACCAAATCTGTAATAGCACACCTCCATTTCTAAGCACCCAGCCTTGGACCTGAATGTCACTCAGATGCACGCTTAGCCTCACTTGTCAGAAGGACACACACTACAGGAGTGTGTGGCCTGCTCCTGACACTCCCAAACCCAGTTGTGGTGCTCTTGAAAGACTGCCAACGAGCTAGGTGCTTTGAAAAAGGTGACCCCAGACACATACCAATCAAGAGTTAACCTTAAAAATTTCCAAAGTGCCATTACCTCAGTAATAAAGGGAAACGTGGGCTGGTGAGGCAGACAGGTCAGCAAGGGACACAAAAGAGTGATTCGGAAGGTAGAAAGAAATTTGTCAACAAGCACAGGGTCTGACAATTAGGTTTGTGAACATGCCACCGAGTGCTCTCATTGGCAGCCCTGTACAAACAGCGTGGTAAGGTTTCACTGCTGTGGTGCAACAGTCTCACGGCTGTGTTCGTGTCGACTATGACTGTGTTTTGCTGAGTGATGGTCATTATTGTGTGTTTTTGTACCCTGTCACAAGAATGTCAGAGCTTTAGTTAGAGCAACAAACAAACATTAAATTTCTTATTAAACTTAACAAGAGTGGAAGTGAAACCAGGAACATGTTAGTCCAAGTTTACGGGGATAATTCCATGAAGAAAATGGCAGTGTGCAAATGGCTTAAACATTTTTCTGATGGGAGAGAAAGTGTCACTGATGAAGAGTGGTCAGGCTGGCCAGTAATGAGTAGAACAGATGAAAACATTTCAAGAATACATAAACATTGATAGAGAAACAGGAAAATCTTAACTGAAAATCTTGGCCAACAACTCATGGCTCTTGCATCACAACAGTACACCAGCTCACACAGCACAGTCTGTGACAGAGTTCTCATCCAGTAAACAAATAACTGTATTGGAACAGCCTCCCTACTTGCTGGATCTGCCCCCCAGTGACTTTTTCCTTTACCCAAAGATAAAGGAAACATTGACATAAAGACATTTTGATGACATTCAGGACATCCAGAGAAACCTGACGACAGCTCGGATGGCCACTCCAGAGAAAGTCCTAAAATTGCCTTGAAGAGTGGACTAGGGGCTGGTGTCAGTGCACAGCTTCCCTAGGGGAGAACTCTGAAGGTGACTATAGTGACATTCAATGAAGTATGTAGCACTTTTTCTAGGATGAGTTCTTCATGTGGATCATTATGAAAATTTTGAGATACATAAAAATCTAGAAATGTAAAATCTACATGGATGGACACAAATGAAACTCTCCTAGCAACACCCATAAGCCAAGAAACTTGAACTTACAAAGGTGAATCAGAAAGGATGCTGTCAACTGTTTGCTATAGGTGAAATAATGGACCCTAATGCAGTTGGTATCAAAACTTTCACAGTAATGCACATATTTAAACACGTTTAACTCCACTGACAAAAAGAAAAGAGAAAGGAGTAGTTTGATTTCTATGCTGATAAAGGTTTTCCTTTTAGTCACACTGCCCAGTACTGTTAACAGGGCAGGGAGCAGTCACAGGCAGGACGGTGGTGGCGAGGGTGACAACACCAACCCAGACAGCACGAAGCAGGACAGGCAGAAGAGCTCTCAGAGTACAGACTGGGGATGACCCTCAAGATTTCCCAGCAAACCAAAATGGTGCTAAGTAGCTTTCCCTCCTCTAAAAATAAGTTCCAGAAAGATGACAGCTATTGCCACAGATCCACATTCCCTTTATAAGAGAATGCAGGTCCTCCAGGAACATAGCCAACCAGCAGACCCCACACTTGTGGAGTCCCTGTGAGCTACATCCTCTCCCCACCTTGGCAACACTACCTAGTACCAAATGGGAACATGGTCACAAGCCTGAGCCCATCAGCTGGGGCACCTAGCCAGTGATTCTCTGGCTCCCTCTGTGCAGGGGGTGGTAGGTGTGATCAGAGTTCTGGGGCCTCAGTACAGGCCCAGCCAGCAGTGACCAGGAATGCAAGCACCGCTGCATGTCTTCTTAAGCACAAAGGAATCTTCTTTTGTTTTTTGGACTTCACTAAGAGAGAACTCAAAACAAAAAAGGTTGATTCTGATCCCCATCCTGTTCCCTACTTCTGGTTATATATTTATTCATCTTCGTTCTTCTACTTCTGGTTACATACAGACAGATCCCTGTTCCCCCACTTCTGGTTATATACTGATCCCTGTTCCCCAACTTCTGGTTACATACTGATCCCTGTTCCCCAACTTCTGGTTACATACTGATCCCTGTTCCCCAACTTCTGGTTACATACTGCTCATCTGTCTGCAGATTTCTCCACTTAAATGAAGCTCCTAGAATCAAAACATACATTCAATGAATAGAGAGCAAACTTCCCTGAATTTTACTTTTTTGTTACTTAACCCACATTATCATTTACCCACTTGAAAGATTTGTATAAATACCCTACTGATAATGGGATGAAGAAGTGAATAAAAGAGAAAGCATTCTTCACAGATGGGGGTGGGGGGAGGGATGTGAGGAGGAGGAAAGAGAGAGAGAGTGAGAGTGAGAGTAGGGAGAAAGCCCTGCAAATGAGAAGAAGCTGAGCAGGCAAGAAGGTCAAAGGCAAGTACACATGGGTGGGGGCAAAGCAGACTGACAAGGAGGCCACGGGTTGCTTCCTCTCCACCTGGCACAGCCACGGACCTTGCAGGCTGAGCAGTGCTGTGAACTTTTCGCATCTGGACAAAACATCTGCTATAGATTTTTCTGTTTGGCTTCTGCCTGAGATTACTCCTATCCAGCCCCTACCCCCACTAGCCTCTAAGGAAGGCAGGACTTCACAAATGGGGCAAATAATTACTTTCAAGATCAG